GCACAGTTTTATAAAATCAAAACATTGCGTTTATTACAAGGTTGATAAAGCTACAAAAAAATCTATAATTTACAGCTTTTGAGTAAATAGTGTAACCACATTATCAATTTAAGCCTTTGTTTGTTCATCAGTTTAGTTTTGAGTGTTATCCAACATCATAATAAACAGTTATTTACAAATGAAATGTGATCAGTTAACAATTAGATCAATAAGACTTAGAACGTTTGCTCTGAGCATTCAACAATGCATGTGAAATGTTTGCTATCAGCCTATACCTAAATTGGGTTAGTGCAGCTTTCAGCCAAGCCTTCCTGCATTACTTAAAGTTGTGATGTACAAGTCTTAGTTTTTGATGCGAGAGAAAGAGAAAAAAAGAGAAAGAGAGTGCGCTGTATATTTCATAGAGGGTCATTACAGAGGTTACTTAATTGTACGCTTTGTACACAGATGTCTAAAATATTTGCTCACTAACACTGACTTAGAACTTAAATAAAACTGTGAATTTGTCTTTGGATAACAGAGTGATTTCCAAAAACTATCCAAGTAGAAAATAGTGAAAGAATCCATTTAGTGATCCAGCTTCAGAAGAAAAACTTCTTACAGAAACAAATTAGAAAGATAATAATCAAATTTGTTATATGTAATAGAATGTATAATATACAAAAGATTTCAAACTAATGAAACTTACAATGTGACTGTCAGCTTGTCATACCATTTGAGTTCTTTCAACCCATGACATGTTTTACAAGTAACAATACCACAGCCACCACATTTTCCACACCTAAAAAAAAACAATTATCATAAATAATATGTCAATAATAATTAAAATAAAGAATTATTAGAAACATTTCTCAGCTTTGCCAAGAAACAAAAGCATAATGTTTAATTGTATCCACAAATATTCAATGGACAAAACAATGAAATTTATGCTGATGCACAAGCTTGGAAATTTTTTCTTTAAGAAATCAAAATGCATGGCAGCAACACCAAAAAAAAATAATCAACAGCACTTAACCCTACACAATACAAGGTTTGTGAGCATATAACTGTTTATCAAAAATAATAACAGACCACACTGTACATACTACATGCAGTGCTACAGAACACATACTGTACATAATACATGTAGTGCTACAGAACACATACTGTACATAATACATACAGTGCTACAGAACACATACTGTACATAATACATACAGTGCTACAGAATACATACTGTACATAATACATGTAGTGCTACAGAACACATACTGTACATAATACATACAGTGCTACAGAACATATACTGTACATACTACATGTAGTGCTACAGAACACATACTGTACATAATACATGTAGTGCTACAGAACACATACTGTACATAATACATACAGTGCTACAGAACATATACTGTACATACTACATGCAGTGCTACAGAACACATACTGTACATAATACATGTAGTGCTACAGAACACATACTGTACATAATACATACAGAGCTACAGAACATATACTGTACATACTACATGCAGTGCTACAGAACACATACTGTACATAATACATGTAGTGCTACAGAACACATACTGTACATAATACATACAGTGCCACAGAACATATACTGTACATACTACATGCAGTGCTACAGAAGACATACTGTACATAATACATGTAGTGCTACAGAACACATACTGTACATAATACATACAGTGCTACAGAACATATACTGTACATACTACATGCAGTGCTACAGAACACATAATGTA